TGGATTGAGAGCTTTTGAAAAAACCTCAAAAAAAAAAAATCGAAAAAGAGAATTGTCCCACCATATATCAAACCAAAACAAAGTTTGGTCTCCTCTCCCCACAATTTTGCAGAAATGCCAAAGGTATATTGGCCTATAATAGTTCATTCCTTTCCAGATACTAGACGGTGTAGATTTAGCTCTTGGGCATTTAATCAAACTAGAAAGTACATCCAACCCATATTTTTCTCTAAGGACCTCACATCATAAGCCCTTCTGCTGTGAGTGAAAGCGCCACCACCATTTAGTCAGCAAACTAATATTTAATAACTTCAATCTGGTTATCCCCAAATCACCATCTTTCATTAATGGACAAACGTTTTCCCACTTGACCAACCTGAGCTTTTTTCTTTCACCAACATCCCCCCCATGAAAGATCTCATAATATCTTCTAGTTGTTTCACAAGTATTTTGGGCATGCGAAATAGGGATATGAAGTCAACTGATAAATTAAACAATGTGGATTTTATCCAAGTTCTCCCCACAAAAGATAGTAATTTCGATTTTTCAAAGATAAGTTTTCTGTTGAACCTCTCCACAATTGGATCCCAAATGGATCTTGGGGTATTACCAACTATCAAGGGTATCCCCAAATATTTACTAGAAAAGTTACTTACTCCATGGACAATAATTTCAGCCAACGTTGAACTCCCCCTTGCTCGCAGTCAATACCAATGAAATTAGTTTTACCCAAATTCACCTTAAGGTCGGTTGTCAGCTCCATATACGTGAGAAAGACCCACAGGTTCTTAACTTCCTTGTCATCAGTATTGCAAAAGATTATAATATCATTTACATATTGAAGGTGAGATACCTTTGTTACCAATACTATGCCAAAGATTAGCCTTTTCTTGACCACAGAACTAAGCATGGCACTGAAGCTCTCTGCCACCAAAGTGTAGAGATAAGGTGACAGGGGTCGCCCTTACGGATACCTCTAGAAGCCTGAAAATAACCACGGACTTTTCTATTAAATAAAATAGAGAAGTGTGTTGATGAAAAACAACTACGAATCCACAATCCCAATCTAGATCTGCAGCCCAATTTTCTATAATATCATAGAGAACTTGCCAATCAACTTTATCATACGCTTTCTCAAAATCAATATGAAAATCGGTCTAGATTTTTGGCCTCTTATCCTTTATTGAATACACTCATGGGCTATCAATATACTGTCCATAATTTACATATCTTTCAAGAAAGCAAATTGTGCTCCACAAACCACAAAAGAAAGAACTTCCCTTCATTTCTTAACCTAAGATTTTAGCAAGAATCTTGTACAGACTCCCCAAAATATTGATGGGCCTTATGTCTTCTTCTTAGGTATTAGAGCAATGAAAATGAAGTTCATCTATGAACAAATTTTACCTCTATTGAAGAATTCATCTATCATGAGCATCAGATCCTTTTTAAGAATGTCCCAAAATCCTTAAAGAAGGCTATTGAGAATCCATTTGGGCCAGGTGACTTATATCTCTTGAATCTAAATATTGTCTCTTCCTTCTCAAATTTACATTGCAACCAAAGTACTTTGTCAGCTGGCAGTTTATTGAAACTTAATGAATTTATCTTAAAAATTTGTCTCTTTTCTGCCTTGAAAGCCTTTTGAAAGTGGTCATTAGGATTTTTTTAATGACGTCTGGTTCAAAGCATTCCACTCCATCCATTCTAACTTTTCCTCTTTCCTGAAATTTGCATACTGTGAAAGAATTTGATATTGTGATCATCTTATTTTAACCACATAACTCTTGACCTTTGTCTCCATTGCATCTCTTCCGAATTCAATAAAACATTCAAAGAAGCAATAAGATTGCATTTTCCGCGCACTTGCTCTTTAGGGATGGCAATACCTGAAAGTTGAGTTTTATCTATCTCTTATGTCTTATTTTTTTGTAGATTGGATTTTAGATTGGACACTTTCCCAATAGTATTTTTTCCATTTAACAATCTTCTCCTTTAGTAACCTACCCAACCTTCAACATTGGTGTTTTACCATAAATCTTCCATCAATTTAATAAAATCTCTATCAGACAGCCAAATTAATTCCAATCTAAATGGAGATGGATGGACCGTACCTCTCACCATCCGAATTGAGAAATAATGGAATATGATATGATGCCACTTTAACAACAACCTTGACCATAAGTTTGGGGAATTAATTAAGGAATGAAGAAGTTACCAAAAACCTGTCTACCCAAGTAAAGATGGTCCACAAAGAGAATGGTTAGACCAAGTGTAAGTAGCACCACAAGAGGGAATATCTAACTGCATACAAGGTTTAATCCGAGGAAAAGTGGATGATTCACTAGGCCAACAAATTACGCTTAAATCACCCCCAATACACCAAGGCACATTAAAATAATTAGTCAAGGCATAAAGTTTCTGCAAAAAATAAAATTCTTTCCTTGGAATGATTAGACCATAAACATTTGTTAACTACCACCAAAAATTATCCTCAGGACCCAAGATATGTGTCTTTCATTGATCACAAAATTTGAACCTTGTAACACAAAAGGATTCCAAATAACCCACAAACCACTAGACAACCCATTATTTGCATTAGAACTTACAAAATTCATGAGTCTTCTACCCCAAAACCTCTTTCGCTATCTGAAATTTTTGGGCCTCCATTTTAGTTTTCTGTAAAATCCAAATGTCAAGTTTTTCAATCCTACCAAAAACAGGACATCTCTTTACCACCTATTACTATTGAGGCTCCGAATATCTCATAACAACACTTTCATTCAGAAATGTAGCCCCTATTGTGTTTGGTGGTCTTTGAGAGGCCAACAAACACAGGAAATCACGGTTTATATAGAGCACGAGCTTTGCCTTCAACATCGTTTTTGTCATAGTTAACCAAACTTACCAGGTTGTCCATCTCTCTCAGTACCCAACCTTTATGGTTAGATTTCTCCAATTTTGGGCATCTTTTCTCTGCGTCTAGGTCCTCCTTGTGTGCATTAAGAAGGGTGTCTGTAATGGACTCCAGAGACACATTATACCCTAGATTCACCTCCATTGGATGTAATATAAGCGGTAAATCCGATTGTGCCTCATGCTTCAATTCCTCACCAGCCTTGATGTAAAGATAGGGGTTTGATGGGTCATTTTTTGAGGAGATCGGAGTTGTCCAGGTTTGTGAGCAAAAGAAACGTGCGTATATAACTTTATCGAAAACGCGAGTACATGAAAATCTTAAGAATAGTCAGTTCAGATAATATATTACAATATGTATTATTTTTAAGACTTGAAATCTCCATAAATCTCGATGTTTAAATAATGAATGAGATATTTTTCCAATAAAAAAAGATTTACGGATAACATGATTTGAGTGAGAGAGGGCGGAGCCCCAAATTCAAATTTGCTCTTTTCCAGATAACATGACTTGAAATCTTCTTTATTTTTTTATTATTTTAGTATATTTTATATACAAATATATGTTTTTTTCACATTAATTTCTTTTTCTAAAAAAAAATCTAGAGTCTTCTATTGAATTAGCCAAAGCACCAAATTGCTTCATTTTTTTTACCAAACCAAAAAAAATTCCAAAGCCCATTCGACAACATTAGATAAAAACAATGATCAATGCACTCTTTTGATGGTACATCAACGACATGTGGTTGCAAGAGAATCCTTCCATACTTTGATGGTTCATATTGCTGGCCCTATCCAAGGGCAATAAAATTATTTTGTTTTTTGTTTTTTGTTTTTTGATTTTTAGCTAATGGTTTTTTATTTTAAGCAAGTAGTTTATATAAGATTGCAACCTTAAAATGAATTAAGGTGCCCCTCAAAATCATATCAAATTATCAAATTGTGTTGATGTTAGAAAACCCTTAAACCAATCATCTCATCGAGAGAAAATATGAATATGAATAAAAAAAAATAAAAATTTAAAAATCTTAAAAATAGTGCATCTAACAACACATTATCCGGATTGTCTATTTTCAAGATTTTCAAGCGTCTATATATCTACATGATTTGAACCATTTTTAGAGTTTAAAATTCTATAATTAAAGATGAAAATAGATTTTCAAACCATCCTAAAAAATTTTGATACCAAAATTATGTGTATAATAACATTTAAAGGTGTATTTAATTGATTATATAAAGTTGCAACCTTATACAAACCACATCCTTATTTAAAATAACATTTATCTAGAATTTGTGGTAGAGATATTTTTACAAGGCGCATAAAACAAAATAATAATAAATATTTTAAACAAAATAAAAACCAAAATACCCTTAGAACCTTTAAGGGTATTTTGTTCACATTTTTTATTTAAAATAATTTTTATTATAAACTATCCACATGATTTATGCATGTGTGGTTTATATAAAGTGTCAACCTTACAAACCAATTGACACACACCTCCGATATATCTTATTATAAAATTTAAAACTTAAAAAATGATACAAATCGAACTGATCTACAATCACATGAAATCTTGAAATTAGACCGTCTACATAATGTGTTATAAGATGCACTACTTTTTCTGCTTTAAAATCTTTTTTTGTTTCTATATCCATACATCACAAAGTCGACATGATCAATTGCAAGGTGTAAACACCATCAAAATAATCTTCTTTAATAAATTTTTGATATGTGCTTTTTTTCTACCGTTTAAAGCAGCAACCTTATATGTAACTTTTCCTTAATGCATTAGAGAAATTTAAGCAGAAGACACCAACGGTGTCCGATAAGGTAAAAACACCTCCCGTTGTTAAGCCCTGCGAGCGGCTCCATACTTTCCCTTCTGTCTCTCTCTTCTCTCTCTCTCTCTCTCTCTCTCTCTCTCTCAAGAGCTCATACACAGAACATTTCTCGTTTTGGTTTCCATGCCCTCCTCTCATTTCACCTCGTAAACAAAACCCAAGTACAAAGCAATTGCAACATAATCCACGAAAGGTAAGATCGAATGCCTATACATTATCTAAACATTCACAAAAGAGAGACCTGACCAGAATCATTATCATAAAACCACGGCAGAACATACTAAAAGCAGCACAATTCATACAAATGACTAGGAAAAGCTGGCCTAGAAAGTGATAAAAGGGTTAGAGAATCGGTGAGAATTTTAAACAAAGAAAGAGGAAGAGGAGGAAGGGCAACGGTGGGGGCTCAATGTTGTGTGAGTTGGGCAGGGCTTCGAAAGGGTAGTGTTTTTCGACACTTCATACGTAAAATTTCGGCAGTTCCCCACTTTTTGACCCCTTTGGATGACTAAGCTGGAGGATGAACCTTGAATGTTGGTGTTTCAGCTGTCATGCCCCATTACCCCTGGAGTGAAGATGCTGAAAGCTACTGAATTCTAACAAGCTGGTTTACTAGAAATGCACAAAGAAAAGCATACAATTGTTAAAGAGAATCACAGGGATGTGCAGCATGTCACTGCACATAAATAAACAAATAAATAAAACTATAGATGCAAAGACATGAAAACAAAACAAAAGACCAGAATGGGACTTCTTGATGTATTGTACTCTTATTGAAGACAAACAATGACTTGTACACAAGTTGAATCAAGTGAAATCGAAGAGTCCATGAAAGTATAGTCAGAAGCCATTTAGAGAATCGACAGTTCATGAAACATAGTCGGAAACCATGCCGCTACTTCTGTATCAACCTTGTCCTTGCACAGAAGATTTTCCATGCCGATAAATATCAGAAATTGCAATGCTAATATATCCTCTACAATGACTTCTCATTGTATCAAGCTGCCTGGTCAAAATTGTTTAGCAAATGACGCTTCCCACATCCACGTCTGTAAAGATAGAACAATTTTTAACAAGTAAGATTTCTTAAGTATTATTAAGAGGCAACCCTCATAAACAACAACAACAACGATAGAATAATTTTCACAAGTAATATTTCTTAAGAGTATCATTAAGAGGAAACCCTCGGAAACAACAATAACAATAATAGAACTATAAAGAAGATGAAAACCCAAAATACAAGTTTTCCATTTTTTTTCTTGTTCGGCCATTAGTAAGGATATCTTGTAAAAAGTTGAACAGGGAGAAGCATGTGTTCAATGAAAATTTGAATAACCATCATCATCATTGTCGTCATCATCCAATCCTTAGCCCGACTAATTGGGGTCGGCTACACAATATTGTCCTTCTATTCTGCTCTTATCATAGGCCAGACCCTCAATCAGACCATGAGTCACCATATCACTTCTCACTCCTTCCAACTATGTCCTTTTAGACCTTCTCCTTGTCCTTTTAGAACTTTCCATTTAAACCAAATCAACCCTCCTAATAGGCGTTGTTCTTGGTCAACGAGTTGTTCTTGGTCAACGATACACATGGCTAGAACACCTAAGTCTACGTTCCCTCAACTTATTGTCTATTGAAGTCACCCTTAAGTTTCCTCGGATGTATTTGTTCTGAATTCTATCATGTCTTGTCTTGCCACTCATCCATCTCAAATTTTCATCTCAAACACATACCCCCAACAATCCATCTCATATAGTATGATTGGCCCTACAGCCGTCCTATAGAACTTTCCCTTCAGCTTCATTGGTATGCGATGAACACATAAGACTCTAAAAGCACATCTCTAATTCTATGTGTGACATCTTTCTCAATCTCTCCATGCTCTTGGATTATCGACCGAAGATATCGACAAAAATCTCTATTAGGTACCTCTTGACCATCAATCTTAAACTAATTCCTCGTTTCTACTCCTATTATTGCTAAACTTACATTCCATTTATTTTGTCTTAGTCTGGCTAATTTTAAAACCTTTAAATTCTAGAGCATCCCTCAAAAGTTCTAACTTTGCACTGATGCCATCCTCCAAAAAAAATAAAAAACTCAAAGGGAAAAAATGCACTGACTAAAGATTAATGGAAGCCTATAGGCCTAGCTTCAATGGCTTCACAAATTCAATAGTATTCTAAAGAAACAATGTGCTTAGAAGGAAAAATCAACTCCAAATGAAGTCCTTACTATATACCCTACCCAAACCAAAACACACGCACAAAAAAAAAACCAAATTCTCATTCAAATGTAGTTAGAATTCCTAATCAAAATTGAACCCAAATTTGACATTTTTGCCCCCAAGGAAAGAAACTAAAAACTCGTTCTTAAAAATCATAAAGAAAAACATTAACTTCAAAAGTCGCTACTCTTTGCTCCGATCTCAAAATAACTAATATGATCCTATTTGAAAGCAATGCAAGTCCAAAAACATTCAAATGCCCACGCCAATTTCGCCAGCAAACTAGGCTAAAAATAACAATGAAGGTCCAAACTTGGTCGTGAAGTTTTTTGCGCATGGTCAGTCAGCATCATTCTCTACTGGTTAGAAAGAGATCTCCCTCGAGTTCTAACAATACATTAAATTCTTCAATGCGTCAGCAACAATCTTCTTCAGCTCCTCTGAAATCCACAAATTCTTTGATCAGGCTGGCCTTTCCATTTGACCAAATGCTGACTGTAGAAAACAAGAAGTAGTAATGATCAGAATGTCAAGAACTCTATGGACCTACTCACCAACCAACTTAAATATATGCACCATCCACTCAACATTCACTGCATTAATGGGCTTTCCACATCATCATCCAAGCCTATCCCAATTATTTAGGGTTGGTTTTAGGATTCATGATAAGATGTGGCAAAATTTTACACTAGCTGCCTACTTAACACAACCAACCTCCTTTACCCCGGCTTGGGACAGTTTAAGGGAAAGTTTAAAGTCCTCACCCTTATTAGACCAATCAATGGGCTCTCCATGATACTCATATAAATTGGAGATATTACAGATACGCGAGATCCTATACCACTCTGGAAGTTCAATCTTGCATGCATTTTTGTCAATCTTTTGAAGCACATAGCATTCGCCAAATCTTTTGCATTTTTAACTTTTGACATGTACCACCAGGAAAGTGCTCTCACCTAAAATATGCCATCACCAAATCACCTTCATTGAACTCCTTGCACTTCTGTCAGCATGATCTTATACTTATCATAGCTCTCTTGAGGCCTTTCTAGCACTTGTTTATGAACCTACTAAAGATTTTTAGCTCTAGGCTTCAATGCATCACCATAGTTTGTTCGTCCTTTGACAAAGGAACGAGTCCAATGTCTTGTTCTCTTGTTGGTCCATATAGTACCTCAAAAGGTGACCATCCTATGGACCAATTGACAATGCTATTACAGGCAAATTTAGCTTGAAGAATCTGATCCCACTATGAAGGACTCCTGGAAGGCTCCTCAATAAATTCCCCATACTTATTAACAACCTTTCTCTGACCACCATCTTAGGGTGATACGCAATGTACTGGAGCTGAGTTCCTAACTTTTTCCATGAGAGTCATCAAATATGACTCACGAACCTCCTATCTCGGTATGAAGTGATGGTCTTAGGAACTCCATGAAGCCAAATCACCTTGAAAAATAAATCAGCTGCAAATAAATCAGCTGCACATGTGGCATCAAGACCGTCCTTTCAAGGAATAAAATATGTAATCTTTGGAACACGATCTACCACGGAAAAAAAGAATCGCAGCATCTAGCAGTCTTAGGAAGTCCAACCAGAAAAACAACGAAGACGTCAGTCCAAGGGCTAGTAGGGAATAGGAAGAGGGGTGTACAATCCAATATTCAAAGATCGGCCATTAGATAGCTGACAAATCATGCACTTCTCTACAAATTGACTGACATTCCACTTAAGACAAGGCCAAAAATAATTTTCTCCACCAATGCGATGGTCATGTCTCATCCAAAATGTGCCCCAAGACCCCCGTTGTGCATCTCAACAATAATTTTGATCCACAGGGAACCTTCAAGAATGCATAATTGACTTCCTTTGAAAAGAAAATCATCCTGCAACACCAAGTTCGAACAAAGAACCTTATTTCCCTGTAGACATTGATCAATAGTTCTACATAAATGTGGGTCAATAGCATATAATTGTTGAAGATTTCATATTCAATCACCAAATATGAAATAACCCCAAGCAAACGACATTCTGCTTAATGCATCAGGAGCTTTGTTTTGGCTGCCCATCTTATGAAGAATTATAAAAGAGGATTCCTGCCAATAAAGAAATCCATTGGCATGTGTTCGATTCAATTTCTTCAAGGCATTTAAGAATTCAAGGTTTCATGTTCTCAAAAGAAGATAAACTCCCTCTGTAGAAGATAAAGCTTCCAATGCCAAAAGGCTTGCACAATCTCATAAAATTCTACATTGTAAGCAGAATATCGAACCTTTGATTCATTCAACTTTTCATTGAAGAGGGCCATGGGCTTGCCTTCTTAGTAAGGACAGCCAATACCCACATGCAAAGCACCACACTCTAATTGGAAATTTTTTCTCAAAATCTAGGAGTGCCAGAATAGGAGCACTAGTCACCTTTTCTTTCACAAGTCTGAAACTTTCATCTGCTACCTTAGTCCTTTCAAAAGACCCTTTCATCATGCAATTGGAGATAGGTGAAATAATGGTCCTGAAATTTGAAAACCATGCACTATCCATTTAAGTCGTTCACAAGAGGCTGAGATGTTTCATCGTCTCAAGACTCAAGAGTAAGAACTGAACTCAAAATGGCAGCGAGCATGACAAATGAAGGAATCCAAATTCTCAGAAAGCTCGTGAGGAATACTGGATCTCTTTGTTTATTATCCAACATCCAAGAAGATTTTAGTGAGTTAGCAACTCCACATATTATGCTTCATAAGAAACCTCATTCATGTGGAACAGCAAAGAATGTCTTTACCAAATAAAGGAAGGATTGCATAACACCATCAAAAAAAAAGGAAGGAGTCCATTCAACTCCAGAACTTGCTTCCCCAGACTTTTCATATCATAGGAATCCTAAAAATTCTTTTATGTAAAAAAAGGTGTCAATCACATCAACTAGCATTACACATCCAAAGAAAAAATCCATTAATATTGGCTTTAGCAGCCCATTGACCTGTTAACATATAAATTGCGATTATGAAAGACAGTCATAGCATCAAAAACCATGCTTGGTTGAGAGATGATTTACCATTTAAGACAGAACATCATATCCTAGAGTATTTTATTACACAAAATATATCCATGCTACAAAGAAGAGGTTTGTGTTCATGAGTGTTATAAATATGAACTCTCACATGAAAATACTAGGAAAAACATGGTAGTTGAGGAGAAAGGATTCAGTTATTTCACTACTCATACCCAACTAGATGTAAACCATTTTAACTTAGAACAATAAAAGACTCAATCCAAATTCAAATCAACAAAATCAAAGTACAATCATAACATTGAAAAACTAAAACTAAGAAAATAAAGTCTTGAGATGGAGACAGGTAACATGAATTCAAAACTAAAACAGAATAAATTCAATAAACTATATTTGAGTTATATAAAAAACTCAACAATCTATATTATGTGAGAGAGAGAGAGAGAGAGAGAGACAAACATCAACATGTTTTTGGTTGGTTCAGCAGTAGGTATCAAACTTGTTGCATAGAGTTGCAATTGTCAACAACTAACATGAAGCTCAAGCCTGATTCCTATAGCATAAAAACAACAATTAAACATCACAAATATAAAAAAACACATCCATAAAGAAGGAGAAGACCATAGCATAAGCATCCATAAATGAAACGCTCGAAATTCAATGAACTGCATTTTGAGAGAGTGAGGGAGAGAGAGAGAGTGCCAAATCTTACCTTTATCACCTGAGCTTCTCCTTCCCCATAAGCTTCTTTGCCGCCTCCTTCACCTTCTCAATGTAACCCTCAATTGGTGGAGTGAGGGTAGCCATGAACCTATTCGCTGGAAAAGGGGTAAGATCAGGAACCAGAGCTGCCTCTCTCAAATGCTCGGGCAAAGCTTCAATTGCTTCCTTCTTCAACCTAAGCAATGTACTCTCAGCCGCTTGCCTCGCCCTATGCCTCCTCATCAAAAGCCTACTGTACTCTTTGGCCAATCTTATCCCATCTTCAACAGTGAGCTCATACTTTAGTATATCCTTCTCATCAACAAGCCCTAGAGATATGAGGTCCAAACCAGGAGTCCCCAAAGCCATGGTCATCTCTGCTTTCATTTCCTTTCTCCTTTGTTTTGCCATTTCTATCTCTCTCTGTCTCTCCTTGCTTATAAGCCCCAGTTTTTCTCTCTCTGCCTCTCTTTGCCTCTCCTTAGGAGAGAGAAACCGAATTGGGGTTGGGGCATCAAGGCATGAATCCACCATTTTGTTGATTCTCTCAGCTGCTTCACCTCCTCTTCCTTTGGTTTGGGATTGGGGTTTGGAGGTCGTTTTCTTAGGGATTTTGGCGCGTTTGAGGGGTTGGCCTGGTTTGGCCTTAACTTTGCCCTTTGCTGTTCCGCTTACTGTTGCTCTTTGGAAGTAGAGAGAGGAGAGAGAGTGTGAGAATGGAGTTAGCGTTCTCGCTAGTTTCCATGGCATGCCGGTGGCCATGTTGGGATCTCTCTCTCTCTTTGCTGTTACGATCTGTGATCCTTGTACTCTCTAAACGCTCTATGAATGCTTAGGTGGTGTTTGATAACTTTCACTACAGTCTCCTTGGGAATCACCCCTGCCGCTGACTTTTCTGGATTGTGGGATGCAGGTGAAAATTGGCAAGATGAAAGCTGGAAGTGGTGCTGGTAATTTCACCTGTTTGGCAATGGGAAAGCTCAAAACTGCCAGTAATATTGTTAATTACGTATTTCATTGATATGATATGCGAAATGCAGTTTCTTAATAACATTTTGTAGTAAAATAGCATTCCTTCCGTTCATCCAATATAATACCAAACATGGAAATAGTTTCAAGGAATAATTGTGCGTGGAGATTTCATAAAAGTGTGAACCCCCTTTAATGCTACCAATATTTACATAAATAAGAAACAAAATTGATTTTCTTAATATCAAAATTTCATTCAATGCACAGGTAGCAAAGGCATCATGTGAAATACTAGGTCCTTGAAGAAAATGAATGCAACAAAAAAATTTCAGAATTGAGAATTCCCTGTTAATAAGAGGTTCTTACATGGAAGCAACCACTGTTTTAAAAGAGTTTGCATGATTTTACAAAACGAACTTAATTAATCAAATGTTTAGTAAACTATTAAAAGTACATTGTTAGTTTCATATGGTTACTTGTAATTAACTATCAAAAGATATATAAGTACATCCACTTGTGAAAATGGTATCTTCAACACAAATTTATTAGGATATTAAAAGAGGACATGAGATTACGAAATAAAAATAAAATGATATGAATATAGTATTGGGAGCCCACACCATTTTCATTCCTAACTACTATGTTGGCTCCCTTACCCATGAACAAAGAAAGAACGCTAACAAACTCATTCTTCATAAACTTAATGCAGAAGAAGCATGTCAACCCATAGTATTGATGTAACATAGCACTGATTTATAACATGACCAAATGACATAATTCAAATAAGTCTAGCAATACTATCACATACACTCGAAGCTTCTAAGCTCTCATGGATGAAATGAACATAAGTCGAGCAACAATTATATGCTAGGTGAACTCCAGGCAAACAATGGGCTTTCAGGTCAATTTGAAGTAAGATTTCTAGCAATTTCAGCCACTCAAACCCAACTTCAAGAAAAATAATGATCCAGATATCATAGAAGATACCAAAGGACAGTATGGATGCATCCAAATAGTGATGAACATATTGATTTGAAGTAAGCTTTCTAGCAATTTCAGCCATTCAAACCCAACTTCAAGCAAACTAATGATCCAGCTATCATAGAAGATACCAAAGGACAGTATGGATGCATCCAAGTAGTGACGAACATACACATTCAATAAAGAACATTCTCTAAACTTTTTTGGAGAGGAAGGTTGTTCACAGTGAGAGAGAGATACTCAATTACTGAGCAAGAAGAGAAGCCATCAGAATGCCTTCTTTGCCTCTTAATGTTTTCTCTCCTTTTTTGACAACCTTACAAAGAGAAAAACAATCTCTAAGCTCTCAACTTCAAATTAGCAAATCAACCATAGTCTTTCTAAACTGCAACACTCTTCTCTTCAATCATCTATATAAAAAGTCATGAATTTATGTCTAACCCCCCCTACAACAACGGTCCTCTTGATTTTTCAAAGTAAACAAGTCCAATTTCTCTCTCTACTGTGACAAAATCACACAGCAATCTACAATCAACTAAGTCCTAGAGAGGAAAAAACATATTATTGCCACACCAGGACCTATGGATGAGCACGGTCTTTCTCACTGTAACCAACTCTTCAATCAATCTAAAAACCGATAAAATCAAAATTGATCCCAATTCTTTCCCTCTGAAAAGTTCAAACAACATGCCTTTTCGCTCTATAATTGCTCCTCTTGCCGACTTTGCTTCTCTCTTTATCTCTTGCGGCAGATGAAGAAAAGGTTTGAGAGAGAAAGGGAAAGAAATTTTTCATCCAATCCATTTTGAAGAAATGAGGGAAAAATTCAGCTTTGCTATGTACCAAACATCACCAAAACCACCAAATAAACAGAGGAAATCCAACCCACAATAAAAGAAAAAAAAAAAAACTTTATGGAGGGACAGTAGCAATAAAAAAAAAAACTTTATGGAGGGACAGTAGCAATAAATGAAAGTTCCATACTGTAAACTGAAATTTCATGGCTCCCATTTCAAGCCACGAAATAAAGAATGAATATAGCTCTCTAGAATCAGTAAACTAGAATTACCAATACATAAATATAGAAATCAAGGGTGCTTATTTTTTACATGCATTTGGGTCATCAAATATTATGAATCAATGAAATAAATCAGATTATCTTGTTCACTTGTGTATGAAAACAAATGGAGCAAGAAACCTGAAAACAGAATAAAATCCAGGAGATTTACAACAGAGAAACTTTAAGAAAGCCCTAAATTTTTTTAGGGCAGATTTACAAAAAAGAAAAATAACAAAAGCCGTAATATTTTTTCATGGTTTCCTAAAAAAATCGTGAGAGGATCGAAAACCTAAATTAGTATAACATAAAAAATAAAATATGCATATAACTCACTGATTGAGAGGTTAGTGCTCTGGCTCGCAGGGGGTGAGAGAGAGAGAACGGAGGGAAGGGAGGCTCGACGAAGAGGGAGATGTCCTGTTACACAGTTATCAAACGCCACCTTAGTGTCACTGTGTCACTCGTAAAGCTAGTCGGCATTCTCTTTTATTCTATGAAACCAGCACTTGAATTAGATTTTTTTTTATGAAAAATGGTTCCATAGGGCTTCACTCCTATCAAAATAACTAAAGCCTCACCTTATAATTCATAAAAAAAATTACAATTCAAGCATTGAAAAACCTTTAGATCGATAGTATCAAAATAAGTAAAGCCTCATCTCAAAATTCATAAAAAAATTATAATTCAAGCATAAAAAAACCTTTACATCGATCATCTAAGCATATCGGTTGTGAAAAAAAAAAATTATTTTAGGCCTAAAAATTGTGTATTAACAAATCATCTTGACCGTCTATTTCAACCTAAAATTAAGTATTCATAATTATGTAAGATTTGAACCATTTTTTGAGTTTTAAATTAATTGTCGGTGTTGGAAATTGATTTTGATCCATCATGGAGATTTTTGTCGCCAAAAGTAGTTTATAAATGAGCTTTATTTTAATTCTATAAAGCCTATAGGCCATATAGAAACTTCATCTTTTTTATATATATATCAAAAAGACACGAACCATTCTAGAATGATAATATCAAATAACCCCTTAATCCTATAAATATCCCATAGAACCTCCAAGTTGAACAAAAAAAAGATATTTGATCCCTTCTTTCCTTTTCTATCGTCCAAATTATAGAATTTATTTCTTTTATTTCTTTTTTTTAAACACTCTATTATCTAAATTTTTGAAATGCTTTCTTTCTCTCTCTTTTTTCCTCACCTGTAAGCATCTTCCTGCCTCTCTCTAGCAGCTTCCCTGAATGCTTAACTCTCTCATCTCATTAACCTCATGGGCCAGTTTGATAACGGGAAGCAAGTTCATGAACTATAAATTGAAAGTTACTCTTTGCTGGGAAGAAAGAAGTTACGGTAAGAAGTTATGGGTTTCTGTGTTTGATAATATGCTAAAATGTTAAGAAGTTATGGGTTTTTGTGTTTGATAACTACTTCATGTCTTGAAAAATATTTATAAATTATCTATGTTTTTATTGTTTTATTTAGTTATTACTAAATTCCAAAGAATGGGCAACGTTCATATTTACTAAAATTTATCACCCATCGGATTTATGAGCTTCTAACAATTCAAGCGAAATGGAATTACATGGCTACTCAATCATAAAATTGTTAAAATTTATCTTCAAGTCTTATTACCATTGTAAATCCACTTTGTCGGTACCAATGAAGCACCGAATGATCACTTCGCCATATCCACAAGACGTGATAGGCATCAAAGCTCTCTATTGAAAATATTGCATAGAACGCGAATCAACTACAAAGTAATAATCACAAAAATCAGAACATAATTTCTCATATAATCCATTCCATACATTTTATTCAAAAAATCATAGCATAATTTCAAGTACTATGTTAAAAAAAAAATCATAGCTCCGAGATTAAATTGAAAGTAACAAAGAAAAATGAAAATGAATAAAGAGGAAGAAAAGTAATAAAGATGAAGATTAATTGTAAACAATGAAAAAAAAAAGAAGATTAAGAAAAATGACTCTATCATATCTGCACTGAAAACTCTCTCTCTCTCTATCACAACCCAAAAAAGAAAAAAAAAATCGAAACCCTCCCTTCCCGCCCCTTCCAAACTCCAAATCCCCCTTGTTCACTTCCATATTTTGTTTGTATTTTTTTTGTTGTACATGTAGACGAGTAAGAATCGCAAAAAGTAAATGAGGGTAATAAACAAAGATGAAAAGTAGAATTACTGGACGTACTTGAGATGTCTTCAACGGGCTTAAACTAGAGAGAGAGTAAAAGCATTGGCGATGCAGAGGGGCTCGGCTTGCAGAGAGAGATAAAAGGCGCTTTGATAGGGGAGAGAGAACGGGCTTGACGAAGCCAGTAGAGGAGAGAGAAGTTATGAGTCCTGGCACCCTAGTAAGTAAGGGGAAAGCTTTCTATGTTCCCCCTGCTGCATAAACGTTCCATCCTTCTTTTTATCCAACCGTCTATTTTTTAATGGAAGGTTAAGATTGCCCTATTCAACGTTTCTATACTGTTTTATTGTTTTTTTTTTTCTATAAACTGTTTTGATACTAAATTTTGAACTTCTGTTCCTCTATTAAACTCGCAAAATATAAAAAAAAAATTAATAAAATAAAATGACTAAAATACTTTTGAAAATTTGAAGAGGTATTTTGATTATTATTTTTTATCAAAAAAAATTATTATTAATATTTTTTTGTAGATGCATCTCAATGAAAAGATGGCACGTACTAAATTTCATATTCAGAATAATTGTATTAAAAAATTAAAAATAAAATACTTTGAGACGTCGAATCTAAGATCAAACGGTGAATGGCTCTCTTGATAAAAAATAGACGGCTGGATGATAGGGGCAAGATAGAACTCCTATGTTGCAAGGGAACATAGAAAGCTTTCTCACAGGTAAGTTCAAAAAAGGCACCATAAACACGATTTTTATGATGAAGTTATTAGGGTAAAAAAAAAAATAACAAACTCTATTATTTAGACCATGAAAAGGCTAAAGAATGGATTAATGGTTTTTTTCTAAAAAAAAGTTCATACAAGGATGCTACCTTATAATGTAGAACTATGGATGCCTCTCAAAAACCCATCGAAAAATATAGTTTTAATGTTGAAAAACCGTTTGATTGATCATCTCGACATCGAGATGTATGACTATAAAAAATAAAATGATTGTAAGTCGAAAAAATAATGCATTGTACAACATATTATATACACCGTCCATTTTCAAGATTTTCATGTGTTTATAGATCTACTTGATTTTAACCATTTTTTAAATTTAGAGTTCTATAATTAGATATAAAAATAAATTTTAAAATAATCTTAAAAACATTTTATATCAAAATTATATACGACGATAACATTTGAAGGTGCATCTTACCGCTAGACGTACGGATGCATCCGTATACAAACCCCACCCTTTTGTCTAATTTAGAGGGTTTCATGGCATTTTATGGGACCAGGGATTATTTCGATAATAAATTTAGAAAGGGGGTGTACATCTTTTGTCCTTTTAGTTTTATCCTTGGAAATGTATCAATCATCCTAAGGGACCAATTATTTAACATTCTTTCAATTTTATTAGGAGCACGCACTCATAGGAAAGTCTCATTCATATACTATGCTCCCTCGGGAGAACACTATACAATTATTCCCTCGTGTAAAAGATCGTCTCGAGTGATTTTTTTCCTATTTGAAGTTTTGGGATTCATTTCCTATTTGAAGTTTTGGGATTCATGTAATATTACTAGGTGATTAATGTCGAAGGAAAATAATTTATATTTTAAGTTCAGATCATTCCCTCCAAAAATTAGACGGTTTTAGTACGCTCTTGGGATACATTTTTTTCTTTTTAGGCCGATCGAAGTGAAGGTTAATATTTTTTTCTTTTTTTTTTTTCCTTTGCAATAGTTTGCCAGATTCTAAAGAGACAATTTATCATTTATGAATGGAAGTTACACTTATTCTTGTCCTTTAAATTTCCAAATAGGTGGTTATAAGAGTATCATTGAATAGACACGAAGTTCCAAAAAGAAAAATCAACAAGATATCATGAGTCACCCTAAGCCATACAATTTGACATCTAATGAATTTGACTGATTGTGACTTCCATGCACAAAAGATAAATGGTCTATTTGTGAACAATCTCTTTTATATATATATATATATATATGTAAAAGTGTTGCTTTTATAAGGTTGCAACCTTAAATAATCCAATTAAGGCGCAACTCTAAATTTTATCATAACATATAATTTTATTGTAAAAAAATATTAGGATTATCTTAAAAACTATTTTCATACCTAATTAGAAAATTTTAAACTACTAAAACTAGTAAATACAAGTAATACTACTAAACTAACTATAGTAAATAACTTATAAAAGTATAAGTGTTACGTGTAATAGTTTATTTAGTAATAATAG